CTAAAGCGCTCAGACGGCACAGCGGAAGTCACATCCAGAGATAAGATAAGAGCGGAGGCGTGCAGACCGAGGAGTCGTGACTGCGTCTGCAACCAGAAGATATCAAGACCCCAAAGTGCAGGAGCCATGGTGAGACAAACGATCCACAGTGCGCCAGGGTGGTGTGAAAGCCCGAAGTTATAGATTTTAAAAATAAATATATGTAAACTATTCTAAACTAGCGTTCACAGTTACAGGAATCCATATGAAAACTGCACGAGTTTAAACTTCATTTCATATTGAATAATAATGAATAACTGTTTTGCTCTGTAATTAAGTCAAGTCAGCTTTATTTGTAGAGCAAATTTAAAAGACATCAAGTATCAGAGTGCTGAACAGAGGGAAGTGGAATAAAAACAAGGAATTAAGATAAATGAGGTAAAGAAGATGACAAAAAATCACATAAGCAGACTCTTATATACACTTGTCTATACAAGTATATATGTACACAAACATATACATGCATACACACACACACAGAGGTATGCACGTGGACATAAATACATGTACATATACACATGCAATGAGATAACAGACTAGAATAAAAGACTTAATCAGTCTCTTTAATTATGTCATAACCCAGCACGAGCAACTGTTTTAGCATCAAAATACACTAAAAGTACCTAAATTAAAATCACTCATGATGCATTAACACACTGGAGGTGATTTTAATTACTTATATACTCCTTAATAGCTTTATCTACATTAATACAGCATTATACATATTCATAGATTTAAAATCTGCAAAGCAAAAATGATGGTGTGGTGCACACGGATGTGGAGTATTTGCTTCCTGGATTAAAGCATCTAAAAAACAGAATCACAGAGAAATACTTAAACAAAGTCTGTTAAAACTGAATCAGCAAAGTATTTAAGTAAATCTACTAAACTGCTGCTACTACTACATTCCACTGCTCACCCTCTCCATGCCCTCATCCTGTGGTGTTGGGCATTGTGAGCTCAACAGTGCTCCAGTCCAGTGGCATGCAGACGTTAAATTTATGGGGTATGAGCCCGTAAAGGTTGGAATCTCAGCTCGTAGGGAGCCAGGATGAGATGTTTTAGGAGATAAACAGACTGAAACATTCTTTACAGAAAGCTGCAGAGCACCACAGAGGAAAGTACAGCTTTATAAATCAGCAATATTTTACACTTGTTGGTAGAGGCGGAGCTAAATTCGTTTAAGACTCTCATCTCTGAGACATTTCAAGACTTAAAACACCTTTATTTTCTAACTCTTTCTATATTAAAAGCCTTCACTTGTTTTTATTTAGATTTCAATCGTCTGCGTTTTTAAAGTCGACTCATGTTTTTGAGTGTTGGATTCAGACGTTAAGCTTGAACTTTTTTTAAAGTTCCCTGGTGGCTCTCAGAGGACACCTGTGGCCCCGTTCCCACCGTCCAGCCTGCGTGAGCAGTGTGCCGGAGCCAGTGTTGCTGTAGTTGCTGACTACATGCGCAGAGTTCGGGAGGTGGAGGTCCAGCTGCGCAGGCAGGCCGGCAGAGTGACCGAGGAAGGTGTCAAGCTGGAGAGGGAGCGAGGACACCTGGAGAAGATGCTGCGCAGTCTTAGGACCAATCTGACCATCAACCAGAAGAGCTCAGAGGGGAGAACCAGGAGGCCATCCACCACTGAGACGGCAAGCTTACACAACACTTAAAATGCTGAAATTCTTCTGTCTACTTTGGTGTTAAAGATGCTCAACTGTGGT